CGTCCCTCTACAGGAGGAGAATATTCGAAAATAGTCAACAATAGTCAGCGGACGATTTTTCTTTTTTATTTTTTACTACTTAGGGTATTGTTGGACTATTTTACATGTTCGCCCAAACTCCGCCTGTCGGGGGGCATGCCCGACCTAACTCCAGCACCCTGCTCAGCGGCAGAGAGATGTTGGTTCAGTCGTCCGCCAGTGTTTCTGTCTTGGCCGTCACCCTGCAAGAGCACACTCCAAGCGTTGAACGTAATCGAGGATGACGATTAATAAATGACTGGGGGTCGTGTTCACGCGGCGGCGCCCGGGATGACGATTAGGAAAAACCGGCCGCGGGCTGGAAAACTATTTTTAGTCGCTCTCCTCCAGTCAGAAAGTTGTGCAGAAATAGCAGAAATCATTTTTGTTTAATCGTTCTCTCCCATTTTTTATAGATCGTCATCCCGCATTAGGCACTGCTGGATTCCCCGATCCCAGCCTACATCAGCCGCCTTCCTACTTCACGGGTCCAGAGGTCTTCCCTCTTCCCTCCTCGGGGGGCGGGCGGGAACCCGATCTACTGCAGCGCCTTTCCTTGGCATTGCTCGGACGTGTGCATTTTTCTTTCGGCGAGGACCATCGAGGAGCATCCTTGATCAGCTGGCGAACAAAAACCACGCACGAAACCAAAAATGGCAGAGGGAATGGACGTCCGAGCGATGGCCAGCTTCCCATTTCATGCCTCTACCCACTTCTTCCGACCCACCGGTGGTGACACCGTCAAGGCGCCGCAAAAAGACCCGCTCGGGGCTCCAGACGGGGGCCCCGTCGTGGCCGAGGCCCACCGCCGAAGGAGGCGCCCTCTCGTTCCCTTGCTCCGCGCTCCTCCCAGCAGAGCACGCTGGCCGCAAAAGGGCCACCGTCGGAGCTCCGCGCAGATCTCTGGGGTCGGGCGGGTGGTGATAGGGGGGGTGATCTGTCTGGGGGGCGACAAGGGCCCCTGTGGGGCCCTCTTCTTCACCCCCCACTCAGGCCACCCCCCATTCTGTTCTGAAAATCCTGGAGCTTGGCATCGCTCGGACGTGTGCATTTTTCCTTCGGCGAGGACCATCGAGGAGCATCCTTAATCATCTGGCGAAAAAACACGCACGACACCGACAAAAAGCACAGGGAATGGACGTCCGAGCGATGGCGAGATGGAGGCCTCGCGCGGCGCGCCATATCTGCATCATCTTGTCCACACGTCCGCCCCGTCAGATACGGGACGACGCTCGTGCGGCGATGGTCCGACGTACATCTCACGTAAAATCCGACGTGCACCCGACGTAACTCCGACGTCAATCCGACGTGAATCCGGCGTGGACCCTACGTGCATTGGGCCTCAAGTTGCCGCACGAGGCCTCCAGGATTTTTCTCATAACCCGATTGGGCGGGCTACCTGGCTGCGCTCTCCGCGCCGCATCTGGCGGCGCCCCTTCGCGCTGGCGCGGGGGGGGGTCTGCCGCCGGCGCAGACACGCCGCGCGCACCCCCGAAGGGCAGGCCCTGGCGGGCGGCTTGCGGGCGCACGTCCAGGCGTTGGATTTGTTGTTTCTTTTTTTAATGTTTCGTTGTTCCTCCACTCCAGCTCCTCCTCCTTCTCCTCCTCCTTCTCCTCCTCCAATGATAACTTCTCCTCCTCGTCCTCCTCTTCCTCCTCTTCCTCCTCCTCCTCCTCCTCCTCCTCCTCCTCCTCCTCCTCCTCCTCCTCCTCCTCCTCTCGCCTCGGAAGGAAGCCCTTCGCCGCGCCGCCTGCTCCGACGCGCTGCCTGGCGGCTTTTGGGAGGGCGCCGCGGGGCACCGGGGGCAGGCTCCGCCTCTGGGCGCGGCGGGTCCGCTTGCGGGGCCTGCCGCGGCGCTGGCCTCGTCTGCCTGGGCGCGGGGCGCAGCCTCTGCGCTGTGGGTCTGCCGTGGTGTCTGATGGGCCTGCTTTCCACCACCACCACCACCACCACCACCACAAGTTAGGGGGGGAAGGAGGAGGAGGAGGAGGAGGATGATGATGAGGAGGAGGAGGTGGAGGAGGAGGAGGAGTTGGAATTGGAGGAGGAGGAGGAGGAGGATGAGGAGGAGGAGGGGGAGGAGGAGGAGGAGGAGGACAAGGAGGAGGAGGAGGAGGACAAGGAGGACGAGGAGGAGGAGTTAGCATTGGAGGAGGTGGAGGAGGAGGAGGAGGAGGAGAAGGAGGAGGAGGAGGAGGAGGACCCCCTCCCCATCCTGCTGCTTGTGGTGTGGGCGTCGTCCACCGGGGCGCGTCGAGAGCAAACGGCGCGGCGACGCGTTCAATATCGATGTCACATCGATCAGCTGTGAGCTTCCTTTTTCCCTCGTAGCGTTTCGCTACACGGTCCATCGTGGTTACCTTCAAAAGACCACAGAAAAGTCTCTCACAACGGGGAGCGGGGAGCCCTGGACTGCCCCAGTCAGCAGCCGCTTCACTTGAAATTTCTGCACACAGTATGCAAGCACCGTGCTCCCAATGC